TAATGGGTTTTAAGTCTTCCGCGTTGTTTTCTATTTATTATGTTTGAAATGTTGGGCTTTAGATTGGTTGGTTCGCTCACATAGGAGGATAAGTGTGGGTGCCACTCGCGGCTCGATTTGGGTCATGACAAACTTGGTATCAGAGCATTAGGTTCGTTGGTCTCATCACACAAGAACGAGTCTAGTAGAGTCTTATAGATATATATATATATATCTTAAATAAAAAAACTGGGTTGGAGCGACTTTACGAGCCAATTCCATTTTAACAAGGTTAAACTACATAAATTCCACTATTTAGGTATTACTAATTAAGATTTTTTTTAAAATTCAAATATTACTTTTTTTTATCATATTTTGTGCTTAAGATAGATGAGTCTGAATATGTGTGATACATGTATCTCCTGACTTTGAAATCGAGATACATATTTTATTTGTTTAAATTAATTAGTTATAATTGATTTTCTTAATTAGAGGTTTAATTGTGATACATCATGTATCATACACGCGAGATACATGTATTCATTGATTATAAGAATCGAAATGCACGATATATAACTTTGAATTAATGAGTATAACTTATTTTCCTTAATTAAAAGATTAATGGATGAATAATTAACAATCTAAACCGATTTACAGGATCCTTACTTAATCACTTTAACAAGTTCCCCTAAAATAATAAAATCTTAGTAATTCTGTATTTGTAAACTTCTTTTTCTTCATTAATTTTTTGTTTTGTATCTTAAATTTTCGAATATTCCAGCCTTGAGATACACGTATCATTTTTCGCAAGATATATGTATTCATCAGTTTTAAAAATTGAGATACATGATTTATTACCTTAAATTCAACGGGTGTAACTTATTTCATTAGTTGATGAATTATAGCAAACTAAACAGATTTACACGATCCTTGCGTGTCAACTCTAACAAGTGTTCCTAAAATAACAAAAGTATAAATCATATTAAATTTGTAATTGTACGCATGATCTTCTTTACCCATTCCTTCCTTTGTGTCTTAAATTTTTGACATGAATGTTGGCGGATGAAAACCCAGCAATGACAAAAACCTAATTTGTAAAAGTTAATACAATAAGATTAACACCAATATAAACTCTATCTTAGATACTTGAATGGAATGTAAATCGAGATACATGAGAATAATGAATAATAATAATAATTTACCCCATTGGTACACGGAATGTAAATCGAGATATCTGAGAATAATGAATAATAAGAATAATTTACCCCATTGATATATATAACAGTTGTGTTGAAGAAACCTTGAACTTCTTCTGGATAATATTGGTCATCTTGAAAGAAGACAATTAATGACTAATTTATAGAAAAGATGTATGATGACGATAATGAATATAAGTTTGTATGATGGTGAACTTCACGATTTAGTTAAGGAAGTTAGAGAGATGCATAGATATAAAGTACGTGTGAGGTGGAGGTGAACATTAGGGTAGTGAGAAAATAATTTGAATTGCAAATGTAGCATTAATTAAGGAGTTTAAAATTTAAGATAATTATTTAATATTATTTAAGAGATTTGTGTATCTAATTAAATCTTTTTAAAATATATAATATAAATATTAAAAATGGTATTATGTGTAATTTTTTAAAATTTATAATAAAATAAATATATATAATAGTAAAGAATGTCTAGTTAGGTAATTTTTATTTTTAACAACTTTATGTATGTTTAGTCTTTTGGGGAAAGTTACACATATATACCATCTAATATTAATAGTTTAAGGTCCGTGTAATTCCATTTCAATTTAGGGAAAATTACCTTATTAGATATTTATTTATATTATATATACTAATTATACCTATACTTTTAAATAATAATGCATCTTATCATTAATCAAGAGTTTTCTATCATATATTGAGGAAGATATATATCTAGATACATATATTTTTGCTATTAGATATACTAAAATAGGGAGAGATGTGAGAGAGACAGGGAGAGAGACGAGCGAGATTGAGAGAGAGGCAAGCGCGATATATAATCATGTATCCGATATACATGTGAATCACACTAGATACATACTACATATGTGAATTTGTATGTATCCAGTGTAATTCACATGTACCTCAGATAAAAAATACATTGGAGAGTGACAAACGAGATGGGAGGGACGCGAGCGAGATAGTCATGTATCCTAGATACAGATGTACATGTAAATGTATATATCTAGTGTAGTTTGCATGTATCTGTAATCAGATAAATTATAGGGGAGTGGCGAGTGAGATGGAAAGAGACAAGCTAGATTTGTTTGTATCCCATATCTATGCAAATTCACCTTGGATACGGTGTATTTAGACTAAATTACATATAATTTTAATTCATGTATCTCGAGATACATGGGTCTGAACATATTTGAATGCATCAAAATATTATAAATTCATTATATTACAAGTTAAATTTATCTAAATAATTAGCTCCTAAATTAGTGAGACCCAAACGTGACTTCCCTCCGGTTGGCCCATATCAAATATCCAAAATTTCTATATCTTTTCCAAAAATTTCACTCTTTCTATCCACGGCATCACCACTCTCCAATACCTTTGTTTTCTCTCCAATATTTTCAAAATAAATTTTTAATACTCACATAAGCATAATAATGCTAACACAATATATTTTTCAAGTATTCATTTATAAATATTATTTAATTATGATCACCGTTGTTAGTCCTTATTTCATTTAAAAAATAGAGAGGAAAATAATGATCACCATTATAAGCTCAAAACATTTCCATTTCAGTCAACAAGTATGCAAGAAAATTATAACCTCTAAAAAACTTCATAAATTCATTTGTTCAGCATTGGTATAAAACCACAACTTCATCCTCCAATCACACTTCCTCTCCGCACCAAGAAACCAATCACAATCAATGTTTTAAAAGACTTTTTTGGGACTCACCTCGGGGGCTCTCCCTGGGGCGAGACTCTAGCAAAACCCTTCAAGACTCAATTGCAGGACTTGGTTCTGTAAGACTTACGTCCTAAGTTTCTGATTGTACGCCCTAAGCACCCGATTATACACCCTAAGCACGCCCAACGCTCAATGCTCGAGGCTCGCCTAATAGATCTTATACAAATTATGTGTTAAAATCTTTAGTTAACATTGTTGACATATTTAATATTTTTTTTATCCATAGAGATAAGAAGATTGAGAGTACCTCAAACAACAAGTCAAAGTATCGTATCTTTACTATTTGGTAACATTATGAAGATAATTATTTAGTACGTAACATTGCTTTTAAAAATATATAGTGAAATTTTACTTGTTCACTTATCATTGGTCATCATGGTTTTGTCATATGTCTCAAAATTATCACATTTTATTTATCTATTTGAAAGTAATTTATTTTTTATTCATGATAAATTGATGTTTTTATTAGGAACTTTTTTATTAATAATTTTTTACCCCTTTTCGGTCTACGTGACACTTTCTTTGTGGGCCCAACGCTAATTGACTTTTTTTTAAGCTAGTGCCACATAGGCCGAAAAGGGTAATAAATTACTTATAAAATAAGTTCAAGGGGGTAATAGGACCTTGATATAGTATAAGTGTGTTTATGTGATTTCTGGCGTAGGTGGAGAGGGTACTTGTACATTTTCCCTTTTTATTATAATAGTAGTAAGTTTTATTTATTATTTTCTTTTAGGGGGCTAAATTGTATAGTGTAATAATAATATTTTTTTCTAGAAATAATAATTATTTTATTATTAGAAAGTTAAGACATTAGATCATTTATACTAGTATAATCATGTTAGAATTTTATTTTCTATGAGTTTCCTTAATTATGTTTATAATTATTTAAAACTATTGATGTATTGTTATAATTTTGTGTTATTATACTATATTGTAAATTAAAAATCTATGAGGCTTACGCCTCGGCTCACACCCTCGCTTTTAAAACGCTGATCACAACTAAAAATAATACAAAAGTAAATGTCTATCTATAACATAAAATATCATAAGTTTCACAACTCTTGCAACAATTACACTGAAGAATCAACAACAATCCAAAAAAAAAAGAAAAAGAGTAGGAAAACTCATATACAAAAAAGAAGAGATGAAAAATCAAATGTCAATCCTTCATAGATCCAAGTTTAAACATAATAACAAAATAGTTTTCTTCATTGCAACAATGTTAGAAGCTCATCTGGAGGAGATATCGCTAAGCAAAATCACGACTATAAAATATCATTGAATTGTAAGCGTACGTATTAGCTTAACTAATATAAGTGAGAAATTATATAAATTTAATGAAATAGCTTAATTATATCGAATTTTTTTTTGAAAAACATTGTATTTAGTTTGCAGGAATTAGGATACAAGCGACTCCACCAATAGAAAGATTTTATGGTGTCTCTGCATTTCTTAGTATATATAATCCTAAAGTAGATGGAAATGGTTCATACAGTGCTGCAACCATTTTTCTTTCTAATGGGAAAGGGCAAAACGTCGAGGAGATACAAGTCGGATGGATTGTAAGTTGTCATTTCTTATTGCATCTATTCAATTTCAAAAGATTACGATCAGTACATATTCATTTTTCAGGTGCATCCAAGTTTGAATGGTGACACACGAACTCATTTGTATACCAAGTGGACAGTAAGTGTAACTTTGATTGAATGACAAGTTCCTTTTGAAAAAAAATAATATGAAATAATCGAGAAATACTTTGGGATAGGTGGATAGCTATCAGAAAACAGGATGTTACAACACAAAGTGTCCGGGATTTATCCAATTAAGTCGTACAATACCTATAGATTATGCTTTTCCAAGGACCTCAGAAATAGAAAGTTATTACAAAGAGGAAGTGCTTCTCAGGTTGTATCAGGTATGTTATGCTACACACTTTCAATAATTTTCTTACTTGTCTTTTATGTAAATAATCATGCATACTTTTCTCATTTTGTTAGACAAAATATTTTGATTATCATCTTACTATGCCGGTGATGAATGAGGAGATAGGAATGTGGCCCTATGAAGTGTTCAACAAATTGACTGAAAATGCAGGGGACTTAGTGCAATACGGAGGGAAAGTGTACACACCAGGAGGTCAATATATTACGCCTCCTATGGGAAATGGTCAATTTAGAGGTGGACATTGGCTGCTCACTAGTTATATGATTAAAGTCTTGTATGAAATAGAAGTAGATGGCCACAAACAACAAGTTTCACCAGATGAATCTAAGGTTGAACCTCGTGAATCAAGGTGTTTTTACCAAGGCAATCATTATAATGCAAAGGATGGCTACTGGGACTATAACTTTTTATTTGGGGGTGCAGGTGGTGGAGATCAAAGTGAATTTTGTCAGTATTAGCATAAGGGAAAAACATTAGTACCTAGCAATTATGTCATATTGTATTTTTGTTTGAATGGAAAAAACATTTTTATATACTTGTATTTTTGCTTGATTTTGAAGCTGTCATCGATTAAAAATCAACCTGTAAAATGCAGACAATATGATTGACGATGTGGTTGATGTTCGTACCATTTACAGGTACCCTTGTTCAGCTGTGTTATCTATTGATGTACATGTTTGGAAGTATATAAGTAGTATGTCGCTATAAAACATGTTTTTTTGCCCATTCTTTTGCTTCTTCGCCGCCATCTGAGAAAAAGTTCTATGCTAAATCATATTGGTATGATGCAACATCAAGTAATAAATAGTCCCAAAACTCTTTTAATTGCTTTGTTTTTAATTTGATGAATATGGAGAACTAAAGACTTGGTCTATCCACTATGATTGTGACTTTATCATTTGATTTTTGTGTTCATCATCGTGCTCTTTGTTTCAAATTTGATTTAGCCAAGCCTCCCTTTTGTCCTGTTTTATGCTTCTTTGATTGGGAGTGGAAGAAGGTAAGCAGGGTACCTTAAGATAAAAAAATATTAGGAAACATTTGTCATTGAACATGAGTTTTTCGCTTTTTAAAAAATTTCTGAAAACAAAACCCTTCTTGACAATCTGATTTTGTAAAAAATTGAGGGATTGCAACAAAGATGGACTCCGGATTTTAAGCAGAGGAAGATCTTCCTATATCTCCAGTTTGGGTACTCTTTACCTCTTCACATGCCTAATTGGCAGATAGTTAGTGATGAGAGAAAACATGATATAATTATATGGAAGACGCTTGCTATGGTGGTAGTTAATGAAAACTAGAGTGATTTGTTTCCATTATTGATGTTTTCCATCTTCCAAGAGTGAGCTCTGATCGTTATCCCATATTAATTTCCAATGGGATGCAATAAGGGAATCATATGAAATATTTGTGGGGTTTTAAAAGGTGTAACTGAAAAATGAAGAGTCGCAATTTTTATGAAGAGTTACTATTTTTATAAAGGTTGCGATTTTTATGAAAAGTTATGACTTTAATGAAAAGTTGTGACTTTTATGAAAAG